GCTCCTCTTAGGATCCAGCTCTTTGCTATGGTCTGGAAAAGTGGCTGAAGTTGGCCCAAGTAATTCAGCCCCTGCACCCATGTAGGAGACCAGAAAGAAGCTGCTGGCTCTTGGTATCAGATCAACCCAGCTCCATCTGTTGTGGCCATTTGGAAAGTGAGCCAGTGGGTTGAAAATTCTCTCTGTCTGCCACACTCTGTATGCAACCTCTCAAATAAATACATAAATCTAATATTTGTATATTTATTTGACATCAGAATTACAGAGAGAAATAGAGAGATGGAGAAAAAGAGATCTCTCATCTGCTGTTTCCCTCCCCAAATGGCTGAAATGGATAGGGATGGCCCAGGCTGAAGCCAAGAGACAGGAAATCCATCTAGGTCTCCTTCATGGGTGCAGTGGCCCAAGGATTTGGGCCATCCTTTGCTGTTTTCCGAGGCACATTAGCAGGGACCTGGATTAGAAATGGAACAGCCGGGACTCAAACCAGTGCTTATATTGAATGCCTGTGCTACAGCCATGGACTTAACCTCTTGCACCACAACTCTGGTCCTGAGCTTCTGATTCTTGGAAGTGGACATCACTGTCTTGAGAACGACCCTCCCTGTCTGTTCACTGTGGCCTTGAACAAAGGTGGCATCTTCCAGCCTATAATGTGCCTTTTGAAATGTGTGCTTGTGAAAGAAAATAAATACAACAAACACAGAACTCATTTTTGTATTTTGTTCAACCAAAAGAAGCCAAGTAGCATCATTACAAACATAGGATATCAAATTGTAAAGATTTGACTAAACTTCTTCTTCTGAATTCAAATCTAGGATGTATATCATGAACCCAGTGCATATCCATATAAAATTTGAATACCTAAGTTTATTTATAGAAATCACAAGAGATACAAACACCATCTTCCACAGCACAGCTCTAGGGACTCTGGCAAAATCCCCTTCCTCCAAGTACACCAAATACAGAGCTCCACTTCTCTCCCAAGCATCTCCAGCTGGTGACAGTCTGGAGAGAGCACATGGCATATCTGCACAGCACCAAACACCCACAGTGTCCCCCTCACAGAGAAGGGGTTGAGGTCAGGAATGGGGGAATCCCAGAAGGGGCAGGTGTCCATGGTCTTGCTGTCAGCTTGTCTGCAGTTTGTGTGGGGCCTGAGGGCCCCCAGTGCATCAGTGCTGGAAGAGACATCTGTGCACCTTGCAGCCTGGCCTAGGGTGGGCCTTGATGCAAGTTCTGGGCCCTGAGCTGGGAGAGGGAGACAGAGGCAGAGGTCTGAGGGCAGAGCAGGCCAGGGGTTCCAGGTCATGGAGACTCAACTGGAACTCAGCTGCAGAGGATGCCTCTCCAGTTGAGGCTTGGACATGTGGGAGTAGCCCAGAGTTGCGGCAGCTCTTTAGCGAGGTGTGAGGAAGAGGGGGCTGGGACAGTGAGAGGAGCAGCTCCTGGCATTGCATTGGCTGGGCATGCTGATGGTGGCTGGGGGCCTTGGAGAATACCAGCCACCCTGTCTGTCTGTGGCACACACATCAGCTGCTCCCAGGTAAGCCACAGACCCATCTTCAAGGTTGATCTTCCAGGTGGGGTCAGCACTTTGAGCGGGATGCAGGGGCCTGGGCAGGGAACCAGAGCCCTCTACTGCCTCAGGATGTGCTCAGGGACCACTACCACCACCACATGGCCCAATGTGAGCTGCAGGGCTCTCTGTAAAGCCCAGCACCAGGCTCTCAGCTCCCAGGTGGAATTGCAGCTCTGTTCCACTTCAAAGACTACCAAGATCATCTGGGTGCTGGCACTCTTCAGCCCTAGATGGGGAAGAAGCCAGGAGTTAGGGCTTGTCAGAAAGCAGCTGACAGGGTACAGGTGGCTGTGTCCTTACCTGAAACTCAGCCCCCAAATCCAGCTCTCCGTGGACACCCAAAAATGTCACTTTCCTGAAACCCTCAAAAAGATCACCAAGGGACGTTCCCTGGGCCCTGGAGCACAATCAGTCATGTGGACCCCAGGACATACACTCAGGGCTGCATGGAGTACTGCTTCATCATGGCATGGACAACGGCTGCCCTTCCTGGGCAGCTTCTGCACCTAGGGGAACACGGAGTTCATCGAGGGGAGGCGGCTGTCCCACGGGAGTCCCAGTGGAGGGGCATAGTTGCTCCCTCCACGGAGGTGGCTGCAGCCCTGGGCATCCTAGAGAAAGTCCCTCCCCCATTCCAGTCAGGCTTGGAAGGGGGAGCCTTTCCTAGTGGGGGCAGTCAGGTGAGAGCATAGAAAATGCCTTACCTGGCCTGGGACCCTGCTGCAGTCTCTGCCGTTTGGGGAGGTTGCCTTGTGTCCCGTGTGGTCTGCAGGAGAATGGGACTCAGTCAGCTGAGACCAGCGAGACCTGTTACACAAAGCCCCTAACTCATTGCAGCCCTGCAGCCCTGAGCCCATCCCAGTCCCCCAGATTCAACGCCCAACACTGGGGCTGCCTGAATCCCTCTTCTCCCCTGAGGGTGGGGATTTCTGATCTGCCAAGGCCCATGTGGATATTACAACATCAATTGGGGGCCATACCAACCACTCAGCTTAAAAAGGAGTCTGCTCTGCTGTTCTGCATTCTGGGTCCCACCTGCAGATCCTTTAGCACAGGCTGAACAAAAGAGCATCACTGGACCCAGGGGCTGATGTTCCCATCCCTGAAACTGTGCTCACTTCAGCACACACTGACATGGGACAGGAACCTACGAGGCATCTCTCTCTCTCTCTATCTCTCACTCTCTCTCTCTCCCTCTCTCTCTCTCTCACACACACACACTCAATCTGTCACCTAGACACTCTCCTCCAACATACCTGCTGTCTCCAACAGGGCCGCTGGTCCCTTCTGGGCAGGAGTCACTGGGGCTGCTTGGGCGCCAGCAGCCACTCATGGTACAGATTCTCTGGTCTGTCTGTGCCAACCCCAGGTGATGTCTGCTTCCTGCAGATCTCCCATTGGCTCCTGCTCTTTCTCTTCACCTGAGGCAGAGGGATCAGCCCCCCAGCTGGTACCCCAGGCAACTTGAGTGCTAGAGAGATGTTCCTGCGGCCTCACACAGGCAGAGTGAGCTTGGACAGAGGGAGCTCCTGGGAATGCCTCCAGGTGTGGGAGGCAGGGTTAGAGCCAGGGAGGAATGGTAGCCTTGGCTTCTTCCTCATATTCTCAGCCTGATGAGCTTATGGGGGGAAGGGTTTGCTAGGCAGAACTCAATCAATCAGAATAATGATCCGCTGGCAGTCTATCAATGAAAGTCAATCCAATAGAACCTCCCCTGATTAAAATCCCATCCAGTAAGAACTGCCTATGGTATGCAATTCTGTTAAACAATTCTCTTGCTCCTTATGTGATTGTTTTTCCAATAACCCTTGTGCAATTTTACAGGATTTGATTTTTATAGAGTAGTTTATTTATTTGAAATTCAGAGTTTACAGAGGGAGATGGAGAGGCAGAGAGAGAGAAAAAAAATTCTTCATCCACTTGTTCACACCCCAGTTGTTTACATAGCCTTAGCTGTGCAGATCCGAAGCCAGTAGCCAAGAACTTCGACTGGGTCTCCCACATGGGTACAAGGGCCCAAGGACTTGGGCCATCCTCTATTGCCTTCGCAGGCCATAGCAAAGTGCTGGGTCAAAAGTGGAGCAGCCAGGACTAAAACCAGTGACCCTATGGGATTCTGATACTGCAGGTAGTGGTTTTACCTGCTATGCCACAGCCCCAGCCACAGGATTTGATTTTTGAAATCATCCTTTTTTCCTATTTACTACTGGTTTCCTTCCTTCCTTATTTATTTAGAAAGGCAAAGTGGCAGTGGGATAGGGAGACCCAAAGAGCCATCTTGCATCCGCTGGTGCTTTCTACTCCTTTTCCATACTCATCAGGGAGCAGGATTGGAAGCACTGGAGCCAGGACTCCAACCTGTGCCTCTAAGGTATGTGGCTGATTCCAGGCTGGCTTATTCCCCTGGGCCACAACAGCAGCACAATTTCTCCTGTAGCCTATTAAAACCAATGGCATATGCAAATTTCTGTGTATGGAAACTTTCTAGATTTTTACATATAAATATGTTTTCCATATATATTTTTCCTTGGTCTGTGGCTTATCCACTGATGGGATTGTGACTGGGGGAATTAATTGCATTTTTCCCGGTAGCTGTGGATTTCCCACTGTTTTGCTTATCTATTGTCTTCCTCTATAAGGACCAGCCAGAAGGCAAAGATCCAGCATTTTCCAAGAATCCACTGGCTGTATGCATCCTACTCTGAGGGCAGCCAGGCAAAACTTGTGACCATGGGAGAACCTGCGTCATTCTCATCTCCAAGCCAGCCCTCCCTGGTGAGTTGAGAATTATTGTGACCACCCAGTGTCCACTGGTGTACTTCTTTCTTTACTTAAATTTCTCTCAGTAACTGACAGGATTTTTCTAAAGATTTAGTTATTTATTTGGAAGGCTGGGTTACAGGCAGAGATTGGGAGAGAAAGAGAGGGGGAGAAGCCCTCCACGTGCTGGTTCACTCCAACCATGGCCACAACTTCAAACATGGGGCTTCACTCCCTGGTTTTGAGTGACAATCAATGTCATCTACCCTTAATTATGTGAACTTTCTTGGGATCATAGACCAGATTGTTCTGAAATATTTCTTAATTTATTTCAAAGGAAGAGTTACATAGAACAATAGTAAGAGCTAGTGAAAGATGATCTTCCATCCTCCCCCTCTCTCCTTCTCTCTCTGGCACTCTGCTATCAAATAAAAACAAACCCTAAAACACACAGCTTTTTGTTCTCATCCCCTCAAACCGCCTGTGGTTCCAATGCACTTGGCCTCAAACCTTTTGGATGACAATGGTGCACAGTGCGAGGCAGCTTCCACCAGGAGAAGGGGAGGTGGAGGCACCTGGGACCCCTTCCATAGCTGGAAGTCTGTGTCTTCCACTCTGCTCAAGTTTGATTTTGTTTTCCAAGGGGAGACTGAGAAGAATGATTATTCCTGAGACCTTGCAAAGGAAGCAAGTAGCGCGTGTGTTGAAGGCCAAGCCGAGACCCAGAGAAGGCTCTGCACAGCCAGTCAGACTGACCAGCTGCATCTTCAAGAGTCTGATCACTCGAGTCTCTGCCCACCTGGGCAATGTGGTTCAACACTTGCTGACAGAGGGGTACCTGGAGAAGCCCCAGCAGGTCTGTGCACTCAGGCTACTGCAGGGGCTCTGCGCCAGCAGCAACGAGGGAGAGCCTTTACCCACTTTGGAATTTGCAAACTCCTGGAAGATGACAGCACCAGCAATCCCAAGCAGATCCCCAGGTCCGGTTGGTGCTGGGGGTCTGCAGTCCAGGCCTAAGCCTACCCCTGAGCCATCCTCCAAGGTGGTAGTGGTGATTCCACCAGCAGATCTGGGTGTCTCCTGGCCTCTCTCCAGCTGGCAGGTAACTCCTGAGGACATCAAAAGGCAGACAAGGAAAGTGAAGGAGCTGAGGAGGAGACTGGCTGAGGCCCTGCAGGCAGACAAGATCATCAGAGAGAAAGAGAAGGTGGGGAGGGGAGACTGAACATGCGGAAGCTGGAGAGAAGGGGCAGCCATGTGGTGCAGGCTCTGTGGGGGTGGGGGAGCCCCCAAGAAAGAGCTTTCCATGTTGGTCTTTGTGTGTAATGCCAGTTCGGCCCTCTTTATGGATCCAGTAATCCCCAACTGTACTTTATTAAACTCTGATAGAAAGGAAGTGTGGACTGTGCCTCTTTTTGTGGGGGACATGATAAGTTTCCCTTGAGAAAGTGTTTAAGTTTCTCTTTACAGTTTTTTTTTTTTCATTTTTACATCACCATCTTCATCGGTAATCTATTGAGGGATTATTGCCTTACTCATTTTTCTTCTTCCATTACTTAACATTAAAGGAAATGATGGCCCCTGCTCCAAAGACATTCTCTTCCTCTGATGTCCATGTGAATGATTTTCACTTTTAAAATTTTTTATTCATTTTTTGAGAGGTGGAGTTACAGAGAGTGAGAGGGAGAGACAGAGAGAAAGGTCTTGTATCCACTGGTTCTTTCCCCAAATGGTCGCAGTGGCTGGAGCTATGCCAATCTGAATCAGGAGCCAGGAGCTTCTTCTGGGTCTCCCACATTGGTGTAGGGGCCCAAGTGCTTGAGCCATCTTTTACTACTTTCCCAGGCTTCTCAGATAGCTGGATTGGAAGAGGAGCAACTGGGACACCAACCAGTGCCCATATTGGATGCTGGCGCACTACAGGTAGAGAATTAACCTACTGTGCCACAGGGTCAGCCTCTGAAGTATTTTCAGGTAAACAAATCAGTAGCATTTGGTACATTTGAAATTTTGGACAAGTTTCACCTCTGTTATTTTGATTGATACCATTGTTTACAATTCTTCTATATCAATCTACTGAATAACAAAATCTTTTTAACGAATATGTAGTTGGCTAATTCCAACATCAGGGTCATGAGCTTCAAAATGTCACAGTTTTGAACATTCTGTTTAAAAATTTCATCACAGGACCAGCTTGGTGGCCAAGCAGGTAAAGCTGCTACCTCAGACACTGGTTTCCCATATGGGAGTCAGTTCGAGTCCCAACTGCTTCATTTCTAACCCAGCTCCCTGCTGATAAACCTGGGAAGAAAAGTGATAGCTGACTCAAGTGCTTGGGCCACTGCCACCCACATAGGGGACCCAGAAGAAACTCCTGACTCCTTGAATCAGTCTGGCCCAGCTGCTTATTGTAGAGACCATTAGGGGAGTGAACCCATGGATGCAAGATCTCTCTCTCTCTCAATCTCTCTCTCTCTCTCTCTCTCTCTCTATATATATATATATATATATGTCTTGAGCTCTGACTTTCAAATCAATAAATAAATCTTTTTTTAAAAAGTTCTCATGTTTGATCACACCTTGTTCCCTGAAATGTCAGAAGACAGAAACATTCACACACAAGAGACCAAATTTTTAAGCATGAGGGGAAAATGGCTTTTTCAAGCTTTCCTGATGTATAGTAATACAAATTTAGTACGTTTCATGTATGTATGTTGACAACTTTGGACATCGCATACATCATAGTATCATCATCACCATCAAAGAAGTAGACATTCATGGGCACCAAATCCCCTTAGGTTGGGTGGTAAAAAAAAATCTTAAGTATGAAAATAATCATATGGATAAGATTAAGTGTTAAAGTGCTCATAGAAATAGGATTAAGTGTCTAGTAATGATAATAATAATCATAATAATAGATTTAAAAGGAGAGACTGTTCCAACATGGGAAGCAGTCCACACAGCAGACTCATAGAATGATAATCACTTTAAGTAGCACTCTTAATTCAGAAACAACCCTCAAGGCATTCTGTTCTGGCTACAATGCCCACATGTGCATTTCAGGCATGGAAAGTGAAGACACTACTGCAAAAATGTGTCCTACATGAAGGACATCGGTGGGTGAAACCCCAGTGGAAAGAAGGTGTCTTCAAGAAAGGAGGTACTATTCTCTGAAGGGAGGAGAGAACTTCTACTTTGTTTATTGTCTTGTCTAAATCCTGATGATGTTTGTGGATTCAAAAGTCTTCCGTAAGGGCCGACTCTGTGGTGTAGTACATAAAGCCACTGCCAGCAGTGTTGGCCTCACATATGGGTGCAATTTCAAGTCCCTGCTTCTCCATTTCCTATACAGCTCTCTGCATGACCTGGGAAAGCAGTGGGAGTTGGCCCAAGTCTTTGAGCCCCTGCACTTGCATTTGAGACCTGGAAGAAGATCCTGACTCCTGGCTTTGGATGGGCACATCTCTGGCCATTGCAGCCATCTGGGGTGTGAACCAGTGGATGGAAGACCTATTTCTCTCTGCCTCTCCTCTTTGTAACTCTGCCTTTCAAATAAAATAAATAAAAAAACATTTTAAAAAAGTTCCATAGCTTAGGCAGCTCTTGTCAGGAGCCTCAGTTAATGACTGGCGTCATACACAAGAGTGTTAATTGTTGAATTAACCACAAGAGTCACTGTGCACTAACTTCTCATGCAGGGCATCTGTCCTCAATGAGTTGTCCTCAATGAGATTTAACTGTGAAACCTGTTCTCAAAGTTTTATTTCATTTTAGTGAATTAAGTAGAAGATTTGAACATCCCTTGTCTCGACTGTTGAGGAACAGTTTTTTTTTTTTCATGCAAATTGTTGAACTCTTTACTTACTACAGAGTTGGTCTTCTGTGTTAAAGTTAATTGGAAGTGAATATTAGTGGAGAATGGGACTGGGAGTGGGAAAAGGAGGAGGGAGTCTGGGCGTGTGGGTGGGAGAGCAGGTATGGTGAGAAGAATCACTATATTCCTAAAGTTGTACTTATGAAATTCATGAAGTTTGTATTCCTGAAATAAATGGCTTCTTTAAAAACAATAAAGTAGGAATTTGCATCCACATGCCTTTCTGAAGTATGAGAATTCACATCAAAAAATACCCAAGGACATTCCAGAAACCCGCTCAAAAATATTACAGAATCCTGATGATTGAATCAACAGCTCCCCCATCATTTCCATGGGTGAGGAAAATTTCTCCCACTTGAGTCCAGGAGGCCATGACCACTCAAGTAAAACTGAGCCTCTCCCAACAGAGAACTTGAGATTTGGAAATAAAAATGGGATTGCTTAGGACACTTGGTCTGGGATAGAAGCAAAAGATGGCCCATTTATTATATGTAGAATATATTTAGTAACTCAAGGGATATATAGGTTAAATTAGTCGAAGAGATTAAAGTCTAGGAAAAAGACAAATAGCTATATATAAAAAAAAATAGCCAAGAGTTTATTTCACATCTAATTATTTTTTTCTTGTAGTTACATTACTTGAAATAGTCTGTGCTTTTATTTACAGTCCATCATTTGGAGTAATTTACAATGAATTTGTCTAAGGGTCCCAAAGATGTATACCTAATATACCCTATATTAAGCATCATAAGCTCAGAAGATAAGGATTAGCTCACACTATGAATAGTTGTAATATCATGCGGAGATTTGGAAGTTTTGTTTTTGGTCATGCAGTAATCCTTATGATATCAAAAGAAAATGACATCCTCCTATATTAGAGATGTAACATAACATAAGTAGTATGTATACATAGGTTTAAATTTATAGAATGTACACATTTTTTTAAGTTTGGGCCTACAAGGTAACACAAGGTGTCTTTAAACAGAAATTGTGCATTCTGAAAAATCTATGGATCGATTTGTATTTGCTGAACCAAAATTGAGCTTGAATTATTGAATGTAAATAGAATTTTAAAATAAACCTACCACTCTATGTGTGACCTACCCAAAAATCATAGTGACTTATCCATCCATGATTTGCTTATGTTACTGAAAAAATAGGTTTAGCTTCCATAAAGATGCAACGAAATCTTTAGGATGTTTGCAAATAGCCCATACCCTAGCCAACTTTGAACTACATCATACACCTATCTTGATTGTGTTAAGTCAATTCCCAACTTGTTGGAAGGGTTCATGGACAAACATTTCTCACCATCTGAACCTATTACATGGTGGCCACCAAAAAACAAACAAACAATAACTAATTTCTACCAAAAAGAAACATTGAGGATAGGGAGGTCAAGGAAAAATAATAAGGACAGATGAGTACACATGCACTTCCTGCCTCTCATTTGAGTGCTCTCACTCTCTTTCCAAATATCCCTGTCCTACAGCTTCAGCATCTTCTAAGGAAAAGCCCATTTACAAACAGTGCTGGGCTCTGGCCTCAGAATCAGCCCTAAAGGCATTCGGATTCGGCTGAAAAGCCCATGAGAGTATTTCAGGCATGGAAAGCCCAAACACTCTGGCAAAAAAAAGGACCTAAATGAAAGATCTCTGTGAGTGAGATCCCAGTGGAACGAACAGGTCTCCAAAGAAGGAGGTACCTTTCTCTGAAGAGAGGAGAGAACTTCCACTTTGACTATGACCTTGTCTAAATAAGATAAGAGTCGATGAACTCAAAAGGCTTCCATAGCCTTGGAAACTCATGACTGGAGCATTAGAGACATCACTGATGCCATAAACAGGAGTGTCAATTTGTAAAGTCAACAACAGGAGTCACTGTGCACTTACTCCTCATGTAGGATCTCTGTCCTTAATGTGCTGTATATTGAGATTTAGTGCTATAACGAGTACTCAAACAGTATTTTTCACTTTGTGTTTCTATGTGGGTGCAAACTGTTGAAATCTTTACTTAATGTATACTAAACTGATCTTCTGTATATAAAGAAAATTGAAAATGAATCTAGATAAGAATGGAAGGGGAGAGACAGTGGGAAAGGGGAGGGTTGTGGGTGGGAGGGAAGTCATTGGTGGGGGGAGCCAATGTAATCCATAAGCTGTACTTTGGAAATCTATATTCATTAAATAAAGGTTAAAAAAAACAGTGCTGGGGAAGGAGATTCCTCTTATGATCAAGGCACCGTATTGCACACCACAATGTCCATAGTGTGTGGATTTTCCTCTAGGTCTTGAGTTGTTGGATAAAATTGGAGAGTTTCCCTGCCAAGCGTGCACATTACCAAGGCTTGGTTATCAATGCAAAGATGATAAAATGGCCTACTGAATTCAAGGAGGTATGGTTCCATGAGAAGAATTTGAAACAGAAGGAGGTGAGAAGAGATGATGTGTGAAATTTTAAATATGCGTTCAATTCTCATTTCACATGCATGCATGAAATATTATGTTCCTCACACAAGTCATCATCCAGTGTCTATCAAATGTGCAGGTTTCTATCAGCAGTTAGAGAATGGTAGTAACAAAGCTAATACAAGGAGGAAAGAAGCAAATTTAGTAGAAAGAAGCAAACTAATTCACAGAGATTATACATATATTCCAACTGAAATAAATGAGTTTCCAGGCTGCTTGCCTCAAGCCCGCTTTCACCCGACTCCCAGGGTCTGTGTGGTGACTCCTCACCTCTTGCCCCCACCACGCTCCTCCTCTCAGAAATCAACTGCAACAGTGGATCATGGCTGCTAAGTGGGATATTGTTGTGCATGAGACACAACACATATTGACTTCTTTCCATGGAGGCTTCTCATTTTCACACCACAAGAGAGAAATCCCTGGCCTCAAACATGTTGTCAAGACAGTGGACCCTTCCCACTACCCAGAAGATTTCTTCCTCAGTCAACTATGGCTTCATGCTTTTCACTGCTTACCTCCTGGGTCACTTTTTGGAACAACTGGAGTCTGCCCACCAATTGCTTCTTTTGACTTTTTCCCAGGACGCATTGACATGCTGATCATATCTGACTCCAGCTATTTCATCTACAATGCTGTGTATGCAGTGGCCCATGCCCTCCATAAGATGCTTATCAGAGCAAATAGAAAAGGGATCTCCAGGAGATGCAGCTCATCCTAGGATTCTTCCATGGCAGGTAAACATCTCCCAGAACAGGACACTCACTGAACACCTGTTAGCATCCTCAGGTATTTTTATTGCAGTACCACATGACCATATTTTCATGCTGAGACTGGCATGATCAGGTATGATGGAAAGTGGGCTCTTTCATTCTTCACTGCGCATATATACATCTATAATAGTTATCTGAGTGTGGAGGATTTGTTATCTGCTATTGAACATTTTAAAAAACAATTTATGCTATGGAACATGTTGAAAGTATTTAAAAACAGTATACGTACTAAGAGATTCACATAAGTCTACAGATAAATGAGTTTTCATCATTGCATCACACTCATAATCAACACCCAAATTCAGAACATAGCATTACTAGTATCCCAAAGATGCTCTGTATCCCCAACTCAATTTCTTTAAAAGCTTTAAAGAACCAGAGCAGTTCTAGGAGATCCTAAATTATTATTCTCAGGCATTTCTTCATATTATAACTTTGTAAACAAAATCCAAAGTGAAGCACCCTTTCAACATTGTCAAGTAAGCAAATTATAAACCATTGTTGGTTAGTCATTTATATAGTAATTATTATGACCCTGTCCCACATGACAATAATTGGGTTTGAAATTTGGCTGATTCCTGACCCCAGATTCTCAAGAAAAGAAATGTACCGAATGAGTGGTAATGACTCAGAGCTATTGGGTCCCTGTCAGTTATTTTTTTCTTACCTCCTGGCTCTTGCCTCAATCCAGGCTCAGCCACTATGTGCACTGAGAGGTGAAGCAGCTAAAGGTTGGTCTCTCAACTTTCTCTCTTTCCATGCTTCTCTCTCTTCCTCTCAAAAACCACAAAACAGTCTAGAAATGTTTTCATATAAAGTAAAAGAAATCGCTGTTTAAGCTGAAACACAGCAGACCATCAACTTATAAATGACAATGTCATTTTATATAATAGGCCTATGGAGAGGGATAAAGCAATAAAAGGACACAGAGGTCTGACCTGCTGTGATCACAGCGACACAAAGGCAAGGTCTCAGCACTGTGACTGACTTAGAAATTTCTCCCTTTGGCTTTTAGCTGTTTCCTTATCTGGATCACCAGACTCTCATGGGCATTCTGTAGGCTGAAAAAAACAGCAATCCTGGGATTGGCTGTGCCCTACACAGAGACCAGTTCTCCCTGACGAGGGCTGACCCTGAAGATAGCATCTACTCCATGTTCTCCCCATTTCAGTTGAGACTCTGGTCTCTGACTTTATGCTGGGGAGATCTTGACATGTCATCATCTCTGCTTTTTCTCTGCTTGAAACTCCACCCCCTGCACACTTCCCTTGATATGTTGGTCAGCAGCTACCAAACTTATCTGAGGATAAATGTCTACACCGAAAGTCTACAGATAGAGACACAACCAGACTCTTATGTTCAAGCCAGAAAACACAGTGTCAGCATCTTGGGAAGTTCAAGGTTGTGTGTATGTGTTAAATATCATTGTGACTGCATGTGACTGCATGTTTGTGCCTGTGTGTTTTGTCCCTATTGGCAATTCTGAAAAATGTGTGGCAGAAAGGCAGATGAATGAAAGCAGAGGTCCTCACCCTTGTTCTGCCTTCCATGGAATTTTCCGTTTGCTCCCCAGCCTTTCAGAGGCAGAGGATAGGCATCAAGATTTTTGTGCCCACCCTATAAGCACATCCCCTGATCCAACTTTGGGGGTCTTGGCAAAGATAAGACTGTTGGGACCCAGGACCACTACTGCCAATGTCCAGATCTGTCTGGAGAGGAGCCTAGCTCTTGTGATGCATGCACTACTTCATTCAATGTTGCTGCCTTGCTTATCACTGTTCCATCTTATGTCTGACATTTCTTATCAGAAGACAAGAACCTCTAATTCACTTTGTCACCCTTTGGGATGAGCTTCTTTCAGTGCCCAATATTTTCATATCTTACCCACGTTGTACCTTGTATCAGTGAGAAGTATACTTTTCTCAGAACATTTACATGGTTAAGGTACTCAATATTCAGCTGATTGTCAGAGCTATAAGTAAACCAGGGGTGAGCAAATATACCCTTCATAGTGTAAAAGTTTATCACTAAGGAAAAATGATTTTAAAAATTTAATTCAACATTCTTATCATTAAAATACATAAAATTACTCAATGGATCCACAGCACAATTTTTGCACCAGATCTATTTAGTGTCCCACAAGTGAGTCCTCCTGGGATCAGAAATCCAATTTTGGTTCAGGTGTTTATGGGAAAGCAACACTTGTTTAGACCACAGGAGAAAATTTTAAATTCATGTGTAATGATAATACATACAACACAGTGTGTCAAAATAGAAAAGTACCTTTACACTAAAAATGAAACACTGCCATCTTGAAACTATGAATATATTATAAGAAGGAACAAAATAGAAATGGCACTTTATTAATTCAACATTGCAAACTAAAAATCAGTGTATATGAACTGAAGAAATGATTGGATAAATATATTTCTTCCCTTATAACTACAATGTGACAATTTTCTTGACATTCAAATTATGGATGAAATGTAGGAAATAAGATAAAGACCAGAATTCCAAGGAAAGTGGGGCAAAGAAAATCATAGTGAAAAAATAGAACAACTGTTTTATTATTCACAATAACATAAATCCATCTTAAATTACAAGAACTCATATTTTCAGGCAGGAAATGTGGGAAAATACAGATTGCTAAATTGTAAAATGCGAAAAGACAAGATAAATTCAATACACAGGAAATTAATAAATGAAGACAAAGTGAACCTTCTGAAATCTCTAATATAAGAAGTCCTGAATTGGATGCCTTTGTTTCAATGAAAATCTAACTTAATAAACCTGCTTTGACAAGAGTTTATATATAAAAGTAGAAACTTATCAAAAAGTCTCGGGAAATCACACTGGTGAATATGGTCACAGATGATAATATTCTCACATATTTGAACAAGTGGCAAACGAAGTTCTATTCAAACTATTCCAGAACCTACAGAAAACATAGATGCAGATTGGTTTCTCTTCTTAAGCAGAAATGAGCTCCCACATTGGAATTTACCAAAGCTTTCCCAAAGGGCACATGAAGATGAGGTTGTGCATGGACACAGTTTGCTTCCAAGAATGTAAAAAAAGGACATTCCACAATCCTCCAGCGACCCTGGAGCATCACTGAGTGGCACCCTGAATCCAGCCTTGGCTTCCTTTGGGTTTAGCTGTGAAACTACACTGAAAAATAGGATCTCACCCTTCTCTCTAAATCTGCTGCTTCATTTAGGTGATCAGGGAAGAACCACCCGTATATGTTGGCCTCTTACTTTGCCATCCAGGTGATCAATAAGGACCCACAATAACTCCTCAACCTATCCATGGAATTCCAAAGCTGCAATGCCTTTGTCATGGACCAATTGACCCTTAGGAATGTTTTGCATTTTCTCTTCAAAAAGCATTTACTCCCTCTAACTATAATTGCCATACACAATACAAAGCACTTGTTATTGCTGGAACCATGTCTGCATTTTCTGCATAGATGGTACTTGTTGGACCTCTAAAACCCCACAGGTAAATGGAATCCTAATTCTGGAGAGCAATGTGTGAGTCTCCACCAATACCATTCTCTCACATCTGATGAAAGGCAAATGTGGAAGCCAAGTATGGGTATCCTACCATGGTGTACAATGTGTCCCAGGGAGTCGGCTGGATTCTGAGAATATTAAAAAGTGGAAGAACTAATGAAGGTGTGAAGCAGTGCAACCTGAGGGAGCCCACTCTGATTGCTGTCTGAGGATAATATATCCATTTGCCATCTTCTGTGAATATTGACTTTTGACTAATCACAGCTCTTTGACACATAAGATATTTATAGCATGCAGAAATATTCTGTCCTAAGACAAGGCTCTCTTAGAAGGCATCCAGGGACCAAAGGTGGTTAGATGTGTAGATGTGAATACCTGGACATCTGGTTTCCACTTCAGATGAAGCTGAGGGCCATGCTAGTCCTGAAGATTCCCCAAGGAATGTTTAAGGCTCAGTTACAATTACACTGGAATTCACACACTCACCTGCCCAAGCCCAAGCCTGCCACAATCTCTTCCACAAAAGCAGATTTTGTCAAAGCGCACCCAGAAAACATTCTCACAACCTCTGACTGTTCTGTTTGAGAGGCAGAGAAACAGGGACAGAAAGAGAGAGAGCTCCTATTTGCTGTTTTCTCACTAAAAGCACACCTCAATAGCAGAAGCCCACCTGGT